GGCTGAGATCATAGATATTAGAGTTAAAAGGAAATTAGATATTAGTATATTAGATTAGATATTAGTTATTAGAGTTCCTTTTAACTCTAATATCTATGCTGAGATATGCGTAAATTAAGACCACGCCTACTAACCACGCCCATTTTCGGCAAAATTTTCGCGCGCAGCAATTTCCGAACCTTCTATTTTAAGTTCCTGGCTACGGCCCTGAACTAAGTCACATCACTTCTATTTCAACAGACTTGTCCGTCTTTGGAACAAACTACCTGCGATAGACATCACCAGGTCACTTCCTTCAATCAAGCGTGAAATCACCAACCATCTCAGGAACCAGTTCCAGTACAATTTCGATTCTAACAATTCATGTTCATTCCACTTCCTTTGTCCCTGCTGCTCATGCAATTAATTAAATTAAATTTGGATCACTAATAAATTAAGTTAATTTTTGTAATTTTGTTTTGTGTGTATATGTAATCTGTATCTCTTCCTCTCTCATCCTCTTCCTCTATCACCCTATCCTCTCTATCCTCTCTAAACTTCTCAGGCTACTCCAGTACTTGGTGTTAGTCCCTCAACACATCTAATTCACCTGTTTTCCTCCCTGTCTCTGTTTCTATATGTTCTATGTGTTGTAAAGTGTTATAATAATAATAATAATAAATAAGAAAGTTATTACATTATGCAGATTTAAAAGTCAGTGTGAACCTAGTACAACATCAAGGAGTATATAGCGATAATGTCAAACGACTTACCAAACTACTCAAACCTGGCAGTATGCTGATCATCAACAACATTAAAGCCCATGACCTTAACAAAACCATTACCGGTATCACGCACACCGTCAATAATAACAAAAAAATTTAACAAAAAAATTTTTCATTTTAATAATTTATACACATGTTTTTATGTTGTGTAGCAATTAGATTTTTCTATGAGTTCCAAGTTACTTAAAAATCAGGCCAAAATCCTGGTACTATACCTTGGCCAATTTTTTTTCAAAAATGGCTTCGAGAAATTATTTTATTTTTACTAGCTGCAACAAGTTTGAGCAAGTATAGTAAGAACTAAGACATTATTTGACAAGGGTAATTATACAAAGTACTCAATACATACTATGATGCTGTTAGTAAGTCAATGAAAAAATTATGCCATTGATTTGCTTTTCTCTGCATCAAGCCCATTAGATCTATCAATTGTGTTCACTATTAATAAAGTCACACAATAATATCATGATGCATGCTGTGTCATACTGTACCTTCTTTACTTCCCACAGTGTAATGATTGTCTTCAGTGGACTTCTTTTTAGAATCTCCACTAACCTAATCACAAATATCATTTTTAAAATTTGCAGGTAAAAACTGACTGTGCTTCGTGTCAGTGACCAATTAGCTAGCCTTTTCTTTAAGAGTTTAGCATAAGCTTCTCTGACCTTATTTGATAGGAAATGCATTGCAAATTATTAACTACCAGTATAATATGGACTTACATTGCTTGAGAGTGGTACATATAATATGAATATAATGATACCCTGACCAGCAATAAAAATAGTCATAATGTAACCGATGAAAAGAAGTCGTTGTGAAAAGAATAGTACACTACCAATCCATCCTATCCCCATTACTACTGTCAGTGACAATGTAGCCTTGATCCAATGTCTAATATAATTGAATTAAAATGAATTGTTTAAATTTCTTGCATTAAGTTATCTAGATTTGAGCTACAGCTAAAATAAAATTTTAAAGTACTAATTTATTTGCATTGATGCCCTCCTATATGCTGTGTAGAAAGAGTGCTGAAAGTTTTAGCTCATGCCAACCCAACAAAATTATGCCTTACTGTGGTTTA